TGTTATCAGTTTGTGCAGGTTGTTATCAGTTTGTTAGCTGTTTGTTAGCAGGTTGTTATCAGTTTGTTAGCTGTTTGTTAGCAGGTTGTTATCAGTTTGTTAGCAGATTGTTAGCTGTTTGTTAGCACTGTAGTTTGTCCGTGTTAAAGAAATGAACTACGAGCTGCAGGGTTGGGCTCTGACGTCGGTGGTGACAGAGAGAGTGAAGGTGTGCTCACCGCGCTGTCGTCTGTTTGGGTTCGGGCACCTGAAAAGACGACAACAGCCTGTCACTGGTACTGGTACTGGTACTGGTACTGGTACTGGTACTGGAGTCACACCATCAGTACCAACAGTCACTGTTTTCAGTTCTTGCCTCTGAATCTCCTGAGTCCCACACAGACCGCCAAGACCGCTATGACAGCCACGGCCACTAGGACGTACATCCGCCAATGAGATGGAGCTAAAAGTACAATCACACACACACACACACACATTTCATGAGTAGGGACAGAAAGGTTTTCCCACGTTTTGTTCCAACAACTGAACGTCACCTAGCCTACGTAGGGACCTGACGTCTGGGTTTAATAGTGGGTCACAATCAACGTTTTTAGGCACATAGCACCACCTACTGCCCTAGAGTGTGTAGGTCCATGGTATGACCAGTGACCGATGAGAATTGTCAGTGGATTTCTTAGTTTGTGTGGTGTCAACAGAGACGGACGGATCTGGCCAAATGTTTGTCCACTCACTGCGTCAGGACCAGAGTCCATTTCTTTGGGCTACAGAGGCGTTTTTGATGGTATCGTTAGCATGACGCTAACAGACTCACCGGTTTTCACACAGGAACCAGAGGCGACGTCACACAGCAGGAAGTCGCTGCTGCCAGAATCCCCGACTCTGCAGGTGAAGGAGCTGCGGTCCTGAGCAGTCAGAGGAGTCTGGAAGGTCAGGGTGGAGGAGCAGGAGGTCTGCGCTGTCTGACCTCCAACCTCTGCCCCCCCCTTCAGCCACTCCACAGTGTGACCACAGTGATGATGGTAAGAGTACACGCAGCACATCAACGTCTCTGTATCTGCGCTAACTAGGGGAAATCACATGAACTGTGTCATTACAGTCTGGGCTGGGAAATGATTCACCCCTAGTGGAGTACAAGGGTACTGCAGAAGGTATGCCTCAGAGAGGGGGCACCTATAGCCGAGCACTCTTTGCAAAGTTAAAGTTTCTATGCTGCCCATTTGACCTTTGAAAATGAGTCAATGATCTGTGACATGTAGCGCCACCTACTGCCATGAGACAATTTGCCTATTTTTTTTTTTTTTTTTGCTATTTCCTCTGCGTTAAAATATAGGTTGTTATGATCTGCTCCAAATTGCTGTCACATAAAAAACACCAATACCAGTTCAAAGGTCATGTAGTACACACCACATAAAAACTCTGGAAGAATACTTCATATAAATAAACAAAAGTATTTTGTCATGCTGAAGTTATATTATGAAGCATTACATTGTCAAACTTTACCTGGTTATCATACGGCTGTACTTCAACCACACGGCTGTACTTCAACCA